CTATTTCAATAAATATTAAAAGAAAGTGATGAAAAATAATAAAGGGATGGAAGCTAAAACAAAATTGCCTATTAAGTTTGTTTTAATATTTAAAAGTTAAGAAATTATAATAATACTTATTTTGAAGAAAAACGTATAACACTAAATAAAAAAAAAAATTTAATTGATTTCTTACTTGTTTCATTTTTATTGATTTTTATTTTGTTAAATGTTAATCTTAAATTAAATTATTCCCTTAGTAATATGAAAGAAATTCAAGGATAAATTATTAGTTAATTAATTTATTAATTTTTTATATAAAATAATATTTAATTATTTAAATTAGGCAATATAATTTATCTTTAACTAGGTAAATAAATATATATACATTTATATTTATGATGATAAGAAAAAAGTAATACAACTTAAAAAGATCTTGAAAAATTAGAGGAGTGGGAGTAAACCTGCTTACACCTGATGCCCCTTTTCCTGGCCACAACCATGGCGGCTTCTAATCCACCCAAGGAGCTAAGGCTGCACGTTGAGGCTAAGGCTGAGGGTGAAGCAGAAACTAAGCGGAGTGGGAGCAGCAACTACATTGTCAAGCGGCGCCAACAGCGACGCGGGCAGAGTCTCGACGCCACTGCTGCTGCTGCTGCTGCTGCTGCTGCTGCTGCTGTTGGCTTCGTATCGTTTTTATTCAAATTCATAATCGCAAAATTTTTATATTCTACTTATGCTCAAAAGACGCGCGTGTATCGCCGCCTCCTGACTCTGACTCTGCCTTCGCTAGGAGACGGTGGTGCGAGCAAGAGAGCAGTGCCAGTGGCGGGGGCGTGGGCGTGGGAGGGGGCACGACTAGTGCTTGGCTTTTGTGCCGGGCCTACAATACAGGCAGCCCTCTGCCTGACCCCCCTTCCCCCTGCCATCATCTTCAGAGAACCACCACTGTAATCGGAAACTTTCCTCTTTCTTTACATTTTTCATCTTTTTACTTTTTTCCATTCTTTTTTTTTTTCGTTGTATATATTTTTTTCATTTTTTTTTTTCTTCCTTGTGCTTTCTTTTTGCTTGTGCCAAAAATACAAGCAGGGAAAGGGGGGTGTGGGAGGTGGTAGAGAGAACGGGAATGAATGAATAATAAAAACGAAGCACTCGATGGCGTAGAATTTGAATAGAAGCTTAGTTTTTCGCTTATACAACAAAAACTTTCTTTTTTCGGGGTTGTTTCCAATTTTTTTCTACTTTGCGCTTCAGCGGGGGCAGGAGGCAGGAGCAGGAGAAGGAGCTGGGATTGGGGCAGGAGCAAGAGCAGGAGGACGACATCGACATCGAAGCATCGAAAGCTGTGTGTGCACAGAAGGAGGAAAAGGGAAAGGCAAGGAAAAGCGCTTTGGCAAAAGGGAAACGCGCTCCGCAACGCACACATAGACCCAGCAGCAAGCAAGCAAGACGGCAGAAGAAAAACTGAAAAGTTTATAATTACTTATTTTTTGATGAATTGGGTAAATATTAAAAAGGGAGCACAGGGAGTGGGAGGGTTCTTTGGGGTTGAGAAAGACAGAGAGAGAGAGCGAAAGAGAGAGGGAAAAGAAGCGACAGCCAAAAAGGTACGATGACGATGGGAGTGCTTAAAAAGAAATACGACTACATTAAAAATTATCGATCGATTTTCTTTTCTTTTTATTCCTTTTTTTTATTGCTAAATAGGTACTGGAACAGGACAGAAGGTCCTGACTTAGGGCATTGTTTTTTTCAAGGGGATTAGAAGAAAATGCAGCAGGGATTCTTGTTCAACCTGTTCTTGGCTCCTTCTCCTACCTTTTCCCAATACACTTAATTGCTTCATCAGGATGTGGGCGTGCCACCGGTCTCCAACTTCATTTGCTTTATTAATTTATTAAATAATTCAATCGACTCCTTGGCCAGACAGAAGCAGACATCCTTATTAACTTTCATTGAATTTAAATTTGAATTTACTTGTTTACCGCCTGAGACCGCAGCAATACACAGCCTTTGGCCGCCTCGTTGCCGTTCAATATTTGTGCGTAAAATTTTGAATGATTTAATCGAGAGGCTCCCCATTCCCATTAACCCCCCGCCCTCTCCCAACTAGTCATATTTCATCCCGGTTGAAAACTGTTTAGAGCATTGGCCACTTATTCCTGTTGCTAAGTATTACGACTCCTTCGCTTCCCATCAAAGCAACGCCTCTCGAGTGGCCCATCTCCACCAGCACCACCAGCACCACCACCACCACTGCATCATCATCATCATGCTGCAAAAGTTTGCCAACTATGAGGGGAAGCCGGAGAGCAAGGAAGCTGGAGGTTAGCTCCTGCCCCAACTGGAAATGCCAGAGCTCGCATTATCAAAGGCACAGGGCCCAGGGAGGGATCCCCTACCTACCATCGTTGTTCCATCTTCTAGAATCTACTACCTACAACCTCCCAGGGTTGCCCCAAACAACCAGGGAACAGACCCTATATTTCACACAGAGAAAATGTACATAATTTTATATTAAAAATATTATAATAATATATCACATTCTCGTAACTATATGTAAACGTATATATATATACGAGAAAAGTACTTTTATAATAATAATAAATAATAAAAAAAAATTCCAAAACTTAAAATTTCCCTAAAGTTTTTATCTCTGTGCAGGGCCCTTAGTCTTAGTGCCACCCTTACCCCTCTCACCCTTACCATTCCTAGCTATGCTCGGTTTTCTTAGCGCCAGAAAATCTGCGGAATTTATAAAATTTTCATAGTTACAACTTTCTTTCGAGGGAAGGAAATGGAAAAGAGTGGGCAGGCAGCGGCAGAACGAGGTTAATGTGCAGTGAAGCCCAAAACCTAAGCCCGCAGCCCGCAATTCAGCAACCCGCGGAGCTTCTTCTATTTTGCAGTTTAGTTTCAAATACATGGGGCTACCCTGCTCTGCCCTGCCCTGCCTTTTTTCGGCAATCTTTCTATGCAGAAACATAAAACTTTTCATTATTATTATTATTATTATTATTATTATTATTTTGTTGTTGTTGTTGTTGTTGTTGCCTACGACGGGTGCCTCTCATTATGCTGCCAGAACCCAAAAACCCCAGCCAAGTCTCCGCGCTCCCGAAGACAAACAGACGCAAACTTTCGCAGCTCTAACAGTTTTTCCTACAAAAAACAAAATTGGTATCTTGGGGGGTCTTGGGGGATTTTTTTCGGTTAGCTAAAAGGGATGCAAGGGCAAGGACAAGGATAGAGTACAGAGTCAATGAGAAGGAGAGAGAAAGCGATACAGAGAGAGCCAAAAACTCGCGCGCGAGAAATGTTAAAAAATATTTTTATAGCGCCGCGAACGTTAGAATAGTGTTTGTGCGGGGCTGCCGTCTTCTTCTCTATATATATCTCTCTTTTTTTGGCTGTGTGTGCGCGTGCCGCCACCCCTCAGCGTCTCAGACCTCGTCCTTGCCTTGGCCTTCTTCTTCATAGCCAACTTGTTGTTGTTGTTAGTCAAATGGGGTGTTGATTGAACGGTTGTGCGGCTGTCCCAGAGCCCTGCAACAACCTACGAGCTACGAGCTACGAGCTACAAGCTGCTTACTACGTACACACAAAGAAATTGAGGTAAATAAGAAGTTTCACTACAATTAGCATACTTTTCACACGGTTTTACAAGAAAAACACAGGATAAGTGAGTTTAAATAGGTGGGCAGGGTTTTAAATATTATAAAAATACAATTTAATTATCCTTTAAATAGTGCAAGAAAAAAAGAGTTATAATTGCATAAATAAATAAATAAATTTGTAAATTTTTATATGAAAAAAAAAAGAAAATTAAAAAAAACGTCCCCCTCCCCCATGACACTATAATTCCCATTTCTCTGTTTTATAGTAAAGTACTACGGGTTTATTTACTATTTGAGAGAGAGATAGAGAAACGAGCAGATTATCACAGGAGACAGTTGGAGATCAGAGAAAAATCAAGGGGGACTGATCAATCAGAGGAGGGACCTAGACAAATGTGAGCACACAAAATATATATATCTGGTTAATCGTAAGACAAGGCGAAAAGTTTCAAGTAAAAAATGGCGTACCTTAAACCAATTGCTAACCGCAAGGGTATACAACCTTCAATTTATAAATCTTAAATTTATATGTAAAATAAAAGTCAAATATTTTTTTTCAATGTACCAAGCCAGCAGCAGCCGAGAATCCCATCCCTGAGTTGCCGTTATATTTATTTTATTCTTCTTTTTTTCGTCTTGTTTTGCGTTTAGACACAAATTTTACAGCCCGCCCACGCGGAGCAGAGCAACCAGGAAAGCGCGAAGGAGCCAAGTTTGCAAAAGTATTACTCGAGCATATATAAAAAATATTGGCAATGTGCGGTAACTGCCAGACGGGGAGGCAGGCACAGACTATATACCCAACGTGGTTCCTTGGGGGGCCCCACATCCTACTTCTACTCCATCTCCAACTCCACTGCTCCTGTCACTTCCAGTGTCTTTGGCATTGAGCACATTGTAGTTGAGATTTCCGCTAAATGAAAATGATGTATTCGCATGGAATGTCACGCCTGAGACCGAAGATGGAAATTGCGATTTGCGTTTTGCGCTTTTGCGTTTTTGGAGTTGCGAATGCGGAAGTTTTGGAGCAGGGATTTTGATGATATATAGGAGTATATATATATATATATAGGAGTATATATATATATATATATAGGAGTATATAGAAGTATCTCCCTTGCTTGGTAGTTGGCTTAGAATCTCAGAGGTTGGGTTATTAAAAAGGCCTCATCAAGAGAGCGAAATAGACAAGAAGCTAATCTAAACGGTTGTTTTTATTTCTCTTCAATTGGTTTCAAAGGCAATCGTTATTTTGTAAGCATTTATTGAAGAGCGTAATTCTACCTATGGAGTTTTGATTTCAAATTACGGCTATATCTATTCTAATAGAATATAATTCCGCTCTTTACAAACCTTTCTCATTGTATTAAACATTGAGAAAAACAATTCAATAAAACTTACCACATCTTGGATCACACTTCCTCCCGAGGCTCTAAAATTTGGCTGCTACCTGTAAAGAGAAAACGTAAACAAATTGCATTTGTAATAAATTCAGGCACAAATTTACACAGATAGAGGGAATATACAATATATATCCGTATATATATATCCATATTGTCTATGCCAAAGCCAGTTAGGGCCGCAGCAATTGGGTTTTTGTCTAAATACCAAACACAAAAACCCCAAAATAGAGGGCTATAAGGCAACCAAAACAAATGGAGCGAAAATGAATTGCATAGAAATGGAGGTAGAGGTAGAGGAACTTGTAAAAAATAATAAATACATAAATTACTTTAGCAAAAAGCGAGAAAAATGCACGAAATTAAGCCGACAAAGCGGCACGAATTGAGTGGCGACGGTGACGGCGGAGGGTTCGATCCACCGATACCCTCTCTCGTTAGCTGGTTGAAAAAGCCCGGAGAAAGCCCCGGGAAAGCCCGGAAAATGGTCGTAATTCACCGTCATGGCGATTGTAGGGTATGTAAATGAAATTAAAACAGCCGCGGCTGGAGAAGGAGTGCAAATTATAGTTAGCATCAGAGTTTTGGCTGATGGCCAGGACTATAACATATAAATATATATATATATATATATATAAATTCCCTGTCCCCTTCCGTTCCTGCTTGCTCAAACAGGTTCTCTCTCGTCTAAACGTTTGTTTGGCTGCACTGCGGCATCCGTGTTACACATCGCGTATACGTGATATGAGTTCCCGAAGCGCCAGAAATTTATTCGCCTGACCTCGTCCACATACTGGCTCACATTCCTCCTTTTCCAGGTTTTTTTTTTTTTTTTTGCTCCTAGCTCCTGTGCTGTCTGCGTGTGTGTGTGTCATTGTTGTTGTGCCGGCGGCAGGATATTATGCATTTTTTTTGTTGTTCTGGCCACACCATAGCACACACCACAAAGTTAGAAGACTCCCCGAAGGCCCAGCGGGAAATCTCATTTAGTTTTTATTTTCTTGTGTCTCAGCTTTGGCTTATTTTAAAAATATTTATTATTAAATACACTTTTTTTTTGCCCTGCAATTCTTCGTATAAGGCTGATTAATATTAATATATCGATAAAGTATCGACATTTCATGCGAAAATCGATATATAAATAAATCTTTTAACGTAGGGCAATATGTTTATGAGCCAAATATCGATATTCTATTTTATATATCAAAACAATATTATTACAAAAAAGTTAAAAATAAATTTGATAAAATTTGTTTTGGATATTTGTCGATAATATCGATATTTTTACATTGATTGTATAATTTTCCAATATCTAAAATATCGATAAATATTATTATATAATATTTGATCGGATTTTTGATTTGGAAACTAGAGCTAACAAATTAAGTAAAACTATTTAGCAAGAAAGTTGCTTTTTTACATGTTCCTTGAAACATATTCCTGATAATATAACACAAAACAAAAAACCGTATATCATTAAGAAGGGTATTTCTGTATATTGTTCTATATTTTATATAGTATATTCCTCTGCCATATATTTATATATATATATGTACATATATGTATAGCTAAAATCCAAAGTGTGTGTTGTGTGTGCATATTTTTCCTTTTTCGCAAACCAAATTATTAGTAATTTTTTTTTTCTGGACAGAGCCAGGAAGGGGGCGTGGCAAGGCGCGTCTCCGTCGGCAGCATTTTAAATATAATTATAATATAATTTGGCGCGGTATTTATTTTTTCCTTTTTTTCGCTCCTTGTTTCCTGCTCCTCCTCCTCCTGTCTATTTTTATACCCTTGCAGGGTATTATAATTTCAGTCAGAAGTTTGCAACGCAGTGAAGGAGACGTTTCCGACCCTATAAAGTATATATATTCTTGATCAGCATCAACAGCCGAGTCGATTTAGCCATGTCCGTCTGTCCGTCTGTCCGTCTGTCCGTCTGTCCGTCTGTCCGTCTGTCTGTCTGTCTGTCTGTCTGTCTGTCCGTCTGTCTGTTTCTACGCAAACTAGTCCCTCAGTTTTAAAGCTATCTGAATGAAACTTTGCATATAGTCTTCTATATGCTCTCACTGCTATATATGTCGGAACGGGCCGGATCGGACGACTATATCATATAGCTGCCATACAAATGTTCGATAAATTTTTAGAAAAAAAATTATAACTTGGCTGTTTTTCAACATATGTGCACTATTTTTGACATATGACCATTTTATATTATTTCTGAATTTTGGTAAAAATTTTATGAAAATCGGACGACTATATCATATAGCTGCCATAGGAACGATCAGGAAATTAATAGAAAAAAAATTATAACTTCGTTGTTTTTCAAACTATTTTTTTCTACTCTGGGATATAAGCTTATTTTATTAGTTCAGAATTTTGGTATAAATTTTATGAAAATCGGACAACTATATCATATAGCTGCCATATAAACCGATCGGTAGGTGTAGGGAAAATGTAAAACTGGGAATGTAAAACTGTAACTGTCAAACTCTCAACATAATAAGTATAGGTAAAATGCAATGAAATAATATCTGCAAGGGTATACAAACTTCGGCGTGCCGAAGTTAGCTTCCTTTCTTGTTTAAAATATTTTTTTCTCCTTATTCGCTGGGCTATGTGGCTTACATACATGTTGTATAGTGTGGTTATGGGGGGTAGGGAAAGGGTGGCAAGTGGGGGCTTGCTCGCTGCATTGTTAATGCAATTTCGCTTTTGTTGTCGCTTTTTGTTTTTGCGCTTTTGTATTAAAATAATTATAAATTTTTTTTTCCACTCATTTCGTTTTATATCTGTATCTTTGTATTTGCCTTGTATTTGTTAGTGTGTGTATGTGTGGACATGTGTGTAAATTGTAGAAAGTCAGTTTTGATAGTTTTTTGCTATTGTTTGAAAGCCTCTCATTGCTCTGCCCTGCCTCTGCTGCCATTTCTCATTTTGCATTTTTTAAGCCAAATTTTTTATTATTATTATTTTTTTTTTTTTTGCTACTCCTGCTGCATGCATCTTCCTCTTGCGGCGCATTTGAGCTTGTAATTTCGAGCAAAGTTTAGCCAGAGAGGAGGACAGGACAGGAGTTACCTCACCTTACCCCACCCCACTTCACCACCCAAGCAGCTTTATTGCATTTCCATGTTTTACGGTTCTCGCTTTTCGGTTCAGCAAAGTTTTTCAATAAAATATCAAACACACAATAACACTCCACACACACTCATGACTGTTCAAAATATCCGCATAATTGTTATTGACAATGGTATTGAACGAGGCCGAAACCGAGGCCATTAATTAGCGCCTGCCAGGTGTGGTGACTTTTGTGCCTGCCTGGTGTCTTGTCTCTTCCTGTGGCTGTTCCTGTGCCTCTTCTTGGGCCTATTTTTGAGGCTCCTTCCTTCCGTCTCCTCCTTTCTCTCCTTAGGTGCTTTTTAGTCTCTCGAAACAGTCTTGCAACAGGTGGCAATGCCCTGACCTAGAGACGAAGCCCAAGAAGCAAACATCACCCAACCACCTCGGACCTCAGCCTCTGTGGCCTCCTTTGAGTGGTGGCTTGGCAGCCTCAAGGACGTTGCGTGGCCACCGCGAAGGAGTTTGGTCGACAAACACAGTTGCGGAGAGGGAGAGATGGGAAAGGGAGAGCTTGGAGAGGCAAAGAGCTGGGAGTTGGAGAACTGGGAAGCTGAAGAGCTTGAAGCTGGAGTAACTGGTAGCTGTTAGCTCTTAGCTGGAGACACACACACACACACCATAGTCGACAGACAATGCCAACACAAATGCGGACAGGACAGGGCTCGGGCTGAAGGAAAAAGCGGATGAATCGGGCAGGAAGGGAGTCGGCGGTGGCGTCTCTGGAAATTAAAATCCAGACTGTCCGTGCTCTGGGCTCTCAAGTGTTTGTCGATGTTCAGCCCCCCACCCATAACCCCCCGAGTGCTGGTTGTTGTCCCACTTTGTGGACTTTTAACTTCCGGCTTCTCCAGCTCCTGCTTTCTCTCCATCTCCTGCTCTTGCTACTGCTACTGCTACTGCTACTGCTACTGCTACTGCTTCCTCTCCAAACGCCGCTCGCTTTGCCTGGCAACCGAGCCGAGACTCGACTCAATTCGACTTGACCTTGCAGCGGCTGCCATCTTGGGAGCCAGACCTGCCGCCCACCGTCTGTCTACCTGTCTGACAAGCACACGCACGCCTCTCACCTGCCGTTGTGTGTGTGTGCCAGTGATAATCCGCATAAAATTACCAGAGCAAGGAGCAAGGAGCAGGAGAGCCAAGGACGCAGAGACCCAACACACGCACCACGACAACGGCGACGACGACGACGACGACAACGACAAAGGCAGAAAGTAAGGCCAAGGTCGTTTCACACCACCCATCTACACACAAACACACACCCTCTCCTACACACACACATGGCAATTGACCAGGCAAGTGAGTGAGTCGTCGACGTCCTCCTTTCTGTTGTTGTTGTCCTGGCATGTGACTCACTTTTACTTGGTCCTGCCAAAAAAAAAAAAAAAAAAGAAAAAATACAAGAAAAAAAAAGAATGAAAATAAAAGCAGAAAAAGAAAAAGAAAACGGCGGCGAGCCAGTGGAACCCCCCCGCTCCTGTTAGCTAGCTAGCCGAGTCCTGCCTCTGTCTCTCCGTGTGTTTGTCACCCAGCCAGGAGCATATGTGATGCCAAAAAAGAAGAAGAGAAGCAAACCCCAAGCACACACTCACACTTACCATCTTGGCTTTGGATTCACCATATGCGTGTGTGTCTGTGTGTGTGGGAGGGGAGGGTAAGGGGGTGTCCTCCTTAAGTTTTTATGGCTTGCTGACTACTACTTCCGGCATCCGGCAACCGGCAACCGGCATCCGGCGTGCGGCCAGGCAATGAATACATTAACACACTCACCCAGACACGGCCAGCCAGAAGGCCCGACAGACAGACCGAAGGGCGAAGAACTTCAGGGGGGGTGAAATAACATAGAGAAGGAGCAAGAGCAAAAGCAAGAGCAAAAGCAAGAGCAAGGAGTATTCTCAACATTCCGAGTATTTTTCGACCGTCTTGT